ATGTGTTAATTTTTTAAAATATGGTTTTAATATGCAAAACATGATCTGGCAAATATACTGCATACATGATCTCAAAAAGTATTACTATTTTTCACTCTATTTTAGTATTCATACCATAAATCATTAAAAAAAAAAACGTTTACTTACTGTTTGCCGTGGTGGTTTGTAGTTTGGATTGCTGGTAAGGATCGGTAACCTGTCTAGGTTCTTCCGACAGGTTACACATACAAATGCCTGGGGAGCACCTTGGTATCCCAGACTGCGAAACGTTGGTAACAATCTGACAGGAAGTTTCTCGAATTTCCTCGAGTGCTCCCCAGGCACAATATCCCTGCAGACACACGTTTTCCCCACTCCTGACCTGCAACGACTCCTGTCCCGGTGCCTGTTGCACAGCAGGACCCCTGCTGGGATCCCCAGCCGCTTGGAAGTTGCACTGTCCACTGTCCTGTACAGTGTAGGATCCTCTTGGCTGCACCCAGCCTCACATCTACTTGAACTTGAAGTTGATCTAGTCTTACTTAATCTATAACATAATCTATTCATTATTAACTTAAAAAAACACACTGCTATCCAAAAAAAAAAGTTCACATCTGGCGAGTTTCCGTTTTCATACGCTCGGAGCTACAGCCATCCACCAGTAAGATGGGAAAGAACTTAACCAGACGAAAACACCGGCAGCAGACGACAGTATAAAGATTTTAAGATTCCCGCGAGACATCTGTGGACTACTCAATTATATGATAGGAAGTAAGCGACCTGAATTGACAGCATTGTGGTGCTTAGATAATCTTTATTACCCTGCATTTTGTATGTCATGATATTAAAAGTTTGTATTACTACAAAGTCCACAATAATATGCGATTTAAGCCCAATTAAACGGATTTGTAATATGCCGATAGTTAAGTTTCCCCCCCCATGCGCTGAGAGTGTAAAATTCTACTACTGGCTGTCACATTTACAGTGTACACCCCACGGGAGATTTACAACGCTTCCGGGGTTTTCCTCGAGAAGACGGCAAAAAAAATCCCGTAAAGTGTGTCATTTCTTCCTCAGTCTCGCCAGTATTACGTGAAAGGAGGTGCGTGCAGTAAGAAACTTATTTTTTTACAAGTGGGCAGCTGAATTTCGCTTTGGGCAGCCATATTTTAGTTGTCACAGATCGTAACTTTCCGGGGGGAGTAAAAATAGTTTCCGGACGTGCTGTTTGCCCTCAGGATGACCTGCAACAACGACCCCTGGCGATTCCGGAAGTAAAGTTCCAACGTTGTCACTGCGTACTCAACCTCTGCACCTTAGCCGATTTCAAGAAAACTATGGCGTGTTTTGCTGAACTAATAAATGCACACGAGAGTCAAGACTGTCTTTACCACACAGTTTTATTTGTATGTTCCTCATGTTATTTTTTGAGTCAAGAAATTGCGCTCTCAATAGGTCTTTTTACCGGCCGATACTGCGTTTCAACGTCGCCATTTTGGACATGTTGGCGGGGAGGGCAGCAGCGCGCATGCGCCAACCGAACGTTCCATTTTCAAGCTTTGGAAGGGGTGTGATTTGGGGGGGGGGGGGGCAATTACAATTTTCAACACTAAGAGTACCTTGGCCCCCCGTAGTAAATTATAAACATACGCTGTTTGGAGCTTCTGCACATGTCAATTTGACTGGCACAAATAGTTTTCTTACACGGTGACATGAGCCTGTCGCCACGCATCCGTGAGTCTTTTCAGCTTCTCGCAACGCGAACTTTAAAAGTTATGATAGGAATGGTAGATAAAATCTTTAGGTGGCGAGATGGCCATGTGGTTAGGCCCGTCACAATTTCTTGTGTACTTACTAGTATTTTTACCTCCATGACATTTCATATCATGGAGGTAAAAATACTAGTAAATAGACAAGACTTATTCTTTCAGTTGCGTTTATCTGTCCGTCTGTCCGTCTGTTGGTCAACAGATAACTCAAGAACGGCTGGATGGATTGGTTTCATACTTGGTGGGTTGGTAGGGTGTGGCGAAAACTGGAATACCTACCACGAGGAAAAATATCTGAAAATTATAAACATCTATAACTGCGTCAAGAAGCGAGAAGAAGTTGAACATGTAAATAGTATATTAGTATGTATAATTTAAGTATCATTGCTGTATCCTTTTCCTTGTCTATTCATGACCTGTAATTAGCTTGTTAGAGCACAAACGTACAATAAAGGTCTTTCATTCCTTCATGCATTCATTATTTACGTGTCAACTGACAGTGCAGTTTTCTAAATGCCAGCTTTACGCTTTGGTAAACTTCGTGCCAAGATGTACCTGCAGACTTCGTGCTTTACGCTTTGGTAACTCCGTGACACGATGTACCTGTTACTGGCGGGCTGAAATGCTATAAATGCGGGGTCATTTTAACACCACAAGAAGACTGCGGGGAGGAACACGCCGAGGAACACTCGTGGTTTCAGATCAAGGCACTGTTGTCGACACAACAAAGGCGCTTCAGAAACATTGTGACTAAGGTGAGATACAAATACTATCATACTCTGTGCATTACATTTTGTTTGTGATTTTTAAAAATGCTAATGACAGCACAGTTAATACATAATTTAGCATTGCTCTTGATTTTGATTTTAAAACAATTATTTCAAGTCTGAAATTCGAATTAGGTATTTGGTTTATGCAGGTAAATATTGTACTGTGTATATTGTCAAGAAAATTGTGAATTGTGAAAATTGTGACCAAGATATGGCCGGGGCATATAGAAATCGTCGGGTTTATTGGGATTCTATAATTCAATTACGGGCCTAGCACGGCTGAATACTGGAGGACAACTTGCACGAGGACGAGTGGGTGGAGTGAGAGTGCTCCTTAATTTTTTTGACTGGTGGTTAAAATGAACACGGGTCACTTCGACAAAAATACACCGTAGCCTGATCGGGATATCACCGAACTTTTCCCTCCCGGTATCTGCCAGTAGCCTGAAGTCCAGCCGAGCCTCCACCAGGCCTTTCTACGGGAATACGGATCGTAGAATTCGGCAACAAATATAAAGAGGGTTAAATTGGCCAAGGGAGTCCGGCCGCGGGGAGGTAGTTGTTTCCCTCCGAAGCCTGTCAAACCCACAAGGCGGTCAAACTCTCCTGGTAAATTCGCCTATATATAGCCAGCGTAGTTAGTCTGGTAGAGACTAAGTCCAGCCTTGTTAGCTTTGATCCACTCCTTATATCGTTATCCGGCTGGCAGGGGTAGCAACGTTAGGAGCGGAGCAAAGCAAACAAGCCGAACTCAGGGCTATAGTATGCCAGCCCAGCTATTTTTTTTTACATGCTGTACAAAAACAGACCAAAGCTAACAAGGCTGGTATCTGGGCTAGTCTGCCAGCCCACCGGGCCACTTTTCCATTTCATAACCTGGACGGACTCTACGGTACGGCGCGGGCGTTAACGTTCATGGCTTCAATAGAATAATTCGAACGCATTTCGCCCTAACCGCCTGCGTCGCTTTAGAAAATACAATCGGGCCGATACCTCGGAAGATACGGAATACCCCGTCACCCGTGTATGCTATATTCGTATCATACACGGACCGCCAAAACTTTTGATAACGGTGTTTCGTACCGGGCCGTATACGTACTTTACGGTAAAATGCGGTAAGGCCCAAGCTTCCGCGACTTTTATAGAATAATTTGAACGCGGTTCACCCGACAGGATTCGGACGTTTGAATTGATGTTTTCGCATTTTTTTGTGAGTTGGGGACACCAAATTTCGGGTAATTTCGCGTTAAAAGTTGCTTTTTCTTGGGTGTGTATGACAAAATTAAATACTTGAAAATTAAGGATTGAATTAAAAGAATGCAACACGGTCCGGGTATGATATGAATATAGCATACAGCACGGGGTAATCACCCACGGTCCCACCCCTCCGCGAGTCGGATCGCTCTCCGCCGTCAGTCGATCCGGTCGGGCCAATGCCTCTGGCGATACGAAATACCCCGTGTTGTATTCTACTGTAAATCTTGTAATGTTCGTGGTAGTTTCTTCTTCACGTCGGTTTTTAAATTAACCGTTTGCGAAGTCATGACAACGCGAATGTGATTTGTTTTAGGTAATACTACAGCTGGATGACCAGTCTATTGGGAGCTTGCTCGGGCTTTTGGCGGGAATGCGCGAGTTGGCCTGTTGCCTGGTTCATTTTAATCATACTGCAGTTTGGTCCACTTTGCAAAGATTATTATTAGAGGTTATTATTAGCAGAATGAGCCTGTTCATTAGAATTTTTGTCGATTTTAATAAATTATTCTTGTCTATAAGATTTTTTTTTCTGTACTGAGTGGATGTTTTGCAAGGAGATCACTCAACCGACTAACATCTATTCACAGTATGTGTCTGTCAATAGCAATTTCTAATCTACTTCGTATAATATTAAACATCACGAGATACATTTTAACGTCATATGGTAAGCCCATGACAAGGACGCTCTACGATTGTACAAGCTGTGATGGGTGACAGTAGATGCACGCTCGTCCCCAGCGCCCGTGGAGAATCCATAGGTTACAGATCGTGGCTTAGCCCAGGCTATGGAAAATAAACTTTCTTTAATGCAAATCTGTCATTTTTGTTTTCTTTGTGTCTTTCTAAAGGGTTGTGATAACCTACTCTACTCGGGTGGTATTTTCGTGCGCGCTCGCTAGTACACGGCGGCGAACTGACACTGCATTATTTCTACCGTAGCGGGTCTAAAACAAGACGCAAGATTTCTATTTTGGGGTATAAAATGTTGTCACAGTGGTAATACACTATTTGAAACAGACGTATACAAAGTACTTTTCTTTGGCGACGCTAGGGTGTACCGTTACCTCTCTAAATTTGCCCGGAAGGGAGTTAGTCACGAAAAGGAACTTAGCCACGGAGGGAGTTTGGGCATTCTCCTCCCACGACAGCAAACTCGTCCCCAGGATAGTTCGCTCCTCCCAGCATGCTTCGCGCCCAAGAAAACGCGTTATCCTTCCCAGGTCTCAAATACGTAGCACCCAATGCCCGGGACCCCGCCGTGTCCACGGTCTGGATTTAATTATAGGACGCTGCGGAGGAGCGTGCAGTAGATGCACATCTGGCACAGACTTTTTTTATATAATCACAAGACGTGGTGACGGCACACTCAAGTCTTTTTAACACCAAATCACGTTTCCTGTAGGCTCACAAATTACTCATCCGTAACACCTCTCCCATTGATCCTCACTTCTTACCCCCTAGCTACCTACCCTCCGACTCATCCTCATTCGTCGTCGCCACTTCATAGTGAGCTGTTGAGTGGCGTGCGCACGACTACCCTACCCTTGTGTCTGTCCAGTTTGTGAATAGACAGGAAACTTAGTTCTCTTCGGAGTTTACGAAAAAGAGAACATAGGGGACATATGCAATCCTCATTTTTACCTTGGCGAAGTGAGGAAAATCGTAAAGTGCTTTTTCCCAAGGACACATGGTCAATGGCATGTCAGCACTCGGCCCCAGGACCCCTTGGTTCCGAGTTGAGCACTCTGCCGCTACGCCACGCGACCCCACGACATTTGGCACGGACGTTTGTTTACTAGTAAACCCAGATGAAGTTGCGTCAATCATTTAGATACATATCAGGAGAGTCTTAATAAACAAGCTATTTGAGCCTTTTTCTCTATTGTTTCCACAACAAGAACTGCGCCATGCTTCTTTGTTTGAGATTAGATAAGACAATAGTAGCAGACATGCATCAATAGCGGCATGCTGCCACAATATTTTGTACTAGCAGCTGAGCTTGTCCATGACCTTTGTAATGCTTACAATAAGAGGCATCTTGTAACCGTAGTAAGGGCACTGTAAATGTACTACCATGTTTAACCCTCAAACACCCGAACTTTTTTGTGACGTTAATGCCCGGACGGGGTCGAAATGGACCCCATTTTTTTCCAAATTTATATTCCTTTCGCATCCTTTCAGTGACATTTGCACATATATTGGTTAAACATATTAAGACGTTTATTTTGGCATGATTAAGTGTTAAAAAAACACCAACTCATTATCATAATTTATGCAAAAAAGGATGAGGCCTGCTGGCATGAACATGGAGTTAACCTTTGACCTCACATGATTGTAAAATTGTCAAACCTCTGAAAACCTGATGAAATAGTTCCTGAGGTTGAGGTTACTTGGCAAACTGCATAATACTAAAGAAATAATATATGCTTTCTTGAAGACATATTGAGGGCATCCGAACAATTTCGTGTGTAGCAAAGTGCAAATACAGACCCCAGACGGTCTTACATCAAACTTCTATTGTTATTTTTACAAATCTGTGCCGATGTCCAAAATTTAGGAGAACTTGTAGAAGAGGTATACTGACAAAGTCACGGGAGGAATTTTTTTTAAATAAAAAAAATCAAATAGCACATAAAAATATACGTCTGTGGTCCAAATGGACCCCGTTCGGGTGTTTGAGGGTTAAGTATTGTTTCAACCGTGAACCCCGCAAAAATACCATTTCCTTTCCTAAAGCGAAATTTATCCCCCGCGAACAAAAATAAATTTACAGTATATTTATGTCATACCTGGTGTAACCTGAGCCGTGATTACGTTCGGTATGGGTGTTTCAGACCGGGCCGTACTTTACGGTACGGTCCGGGCTTCTTTACGTGTGAGGGCCTGGCTTCCAGGACTTCGAATTCCATAGAACGATCGATTCGAACTCGCTTACCGCGTGCCCCGATTTCCAAAATTCAAATACAGAATTCGGACGATGGAATTGATGTTGTTGCATTTGTTTGGTTTAGGGACACAACATTTTGGCATGCATTTTGCATTAAAGGCGTCTTTTCTTTGGATGGTATGACATAAATAAAATACAACACAGTGTATTACGCATCACCCAGCCCTCCTGCGTATCGGTTCTCCCTCCTGTCTTCGGCCATCGGGCGATCTGACGCGCGGTCGGGCTGGTACCTCGGGCGATACGGAATATCCCGTGTATTATTCTATATTTATTATACCCGGTCCGCGATAACATTCGATAACGATGTACCTGACCTGATCGGGCCGTTCTTTACGGTTCTATACCCAAGCATCCATGACTTGAATAAAAATGAATAAAAACTTAAACGCGTTTCGCCCTAACCACGTACGCCGCTTTCGAAAATTCGAATGCAGGATTCGGACGTTGGAATTGATGTTGTTGCATTTTCTGTGGTTTAGGAACACGAAATTTTGGCATGCATCAAAAGGCGTCTTTTTAGGCTGGGTATGGTGTAAATAAAATACTACACCGTATATTCCACATCGCCCTCGGTCCCGGCCCTTCCGCGAGTTGTTTGGCACTTCGGCATAGAACAAAATTCCCCAGGATTCCACCGGAACACCCTAGGCCCCTACACAGGGTAGCGCCAATGTGAGACAGCGCGAAGGAAATCTTTAATGCCCAAACGAGTCTTGATTATTACCACAGCAGCCAAAGTTCTCCCGACTTCATAGCCCGTTCAGGGCTCACACATATGGGCTCCAGGGCAATTGTGATCTTAGCATGATCGATCATTTGGTTATTATGAAAGTGCACTCTGGTTGCATCTTGAGGATTTTTCTGACTCTTAAACCGTGCCCCCTGGTTCTTGATTCAATTTTGGGTTGAAATGATAAGTTGATTGTGTCGTATTATTATATTTCAGTACATACCATATGGTATGGATGAAATATATTGTGTTCTCTCATGTTTCTGCTTCTTCTCCTGCCATTTCGTATAAATGGATTCAACTCCGTCATTTTTAGCCTAATGACTTGAAATTCGGCATGGAGGTAGAGTGGGTCAATACCCCCATCATTTTTTGATACATGCCTTTGAAAAATTTTAATGAAGGTTTTTGGGGGCATTTTTCGACAAAAAAATGGATTTTGGGATCCTGAGCCCTGGTATTACAACCAAATGGTCAGAAATTCGGTATAATGGTACCCTGATAATGTGTCTACAGAATAGCAGTCACATATTTGGCATACAAAACTTCCAAATACCTCATTTGGGGGACTTTGGCTATTTTCAGCCAGAGGTGCTATACCCGTTCCACGTTCGATCTAAAGAATGGCCCGTTCCATCTGCCGTTGGCCATCGAACACTGCTCGAACACATCGAACATTTCGGGTTACCTGGGGTCACGTTGCACGTATGTCGTCCATTTTTGCACTGGGGTAAGTTTGGAATAGTCCACTTTTGTGTGGGAGGGAGATGTTTTTATTCTAAGATGTTTCTGTCTAACGTAGGTTGTAAATGCTGGCAGATGTACGCAAGGTTTATTTATACGATTCTCCTGCAGGTTTGTGTCCAGACTGCCGACCAGCCTGCCCGCCGCCATGATGCTGTACCTGATCCTACTCATCACTGCTGTCTGCAGCTCCGTCTGTGGAACAGCGCAGGACGGCGACACAAAGCACCAGATGCTGTGTAAAATCAGGGAATCATGCCAGGACACCGGTGGGTGTTGAGTACTATTTATCATTTACAGCAGCAATTTTAAGGTTTTTTTTTATCATCATGCTATCGTTGTTTCATCGCTTGGGTCAGTATTTCAGTCAAGTCTAAAATGCAACTGTTTTATGTCGTAAATTGTTACTTTAAAAGGCACATAAAAGGTTCCATAAAATCTGTTATTACGCCAAGGTATGTCTGAAAAGTGATTTCTGCACTTAGTTCGTGAGTCCATCGTATTTTAGAGCGCTTACGGCGGTTTTCGTTCATAAGTTGGCCGCCGCCATACCTTCGCAATGACGTAATTGCGAAGATCTTGAGAACCTGGTCAACGTTCGACTATTCATTCTAGATCTTGGCGCTTCTCGTCCGACGGTGAAAATCGGTGAAAGATTAGCCGCTTGTCATTGGTATTCCGAATGTTGTTATTGCAAATTACACAGGCAGGCACGTTGGAGAAGAAGGAGATAGTAAAAACAACCACAGAACAGAGAAATACAAGAAGACACAGAAAGTTAAATTGCATCAAACGCTGTCTTCTTGCATTTCTCTGTCCTGTAGTTGTTTTTACTATCTCTTTCTTCTCCATCATGCCAACCTGTGTAATTTGCAATTATAACAACATTCGGAATAGCAATGACAAGCGGATAAACTTTCACCGATTTCGACCGCAGGATGAGAAGCGCCAAGAATGGATAGTCGAACGTTGACCAGCTTCTTAACACTTAAGAACTTCGCGATTACTTTATTGTGAAGGTATAGCGGCGGCCAATTTGTTAACCCGGCAAGGACTCAAGATCTCTTATAAAATGACTTTCTCCGTGCAGATCTGACCAAGCCCAACCCCAACGACACCTCTTCGGCGAATGACCTGTGCAGAGCTGCAGAAGACGACCTCAAGTCTCTCGACCCCTCCACCTGTGGTATGTTGCGCTTGAGTTCAATGGCTTGTTTCAGTTGTCGGTTATATAATTATATTCTAAGAGTGTCAAAATAGATATACTGTTAGTATCATTCATCTTTCTTTGTGTGTTGTAGAAAAGTATTCCTGCTATTGGCACTATATTTTATTAGGGGTGATATCTTCCATTTTTCTAGTTGTCTGTTTAATCCAAGCTCATCGTAAGTGGTCATAGTAGATGTTTGATTCGATTGGCGTTACCGACTAGTTAGTATTCTAGTCTAAGACTCCGTTTTTCTTTCGTTTTTCTATAAGATTGTCTCGAATTTCCATGTTCCTAGGAACGTAGTAAAAAGGGGGAATAGAACCAGCCTTTTATTTATACTTTTCTGTTTTGAAAAAGTGACAGTAAATGTATTTTTTCCCTTATAGAATCGCTGCTTGCTCGGGAGAAATATGACCAAGGCGACAACGAAAACCCCGAGCAACCAGACAGCGTGGACGGTCAGATCTTTGATATGATAGAAAGTAAGGAACTGTACATTCTACATTTTTCTAGTATGAACTTAATGATTAGAATTTTCCGAGTTTTTTTTCTTTTATTTCCTACAACGATACATGTGAATTCGCAGCCCTTCATATATGGGATGACGGAAAATCATCAGGCTAGCTAGAACCATGCACTGGAGACTAGAACCAGACTCCTTTCTCTACTTTCCTGTTCTGAAAAAAGGACTCACATGTTAACTTTATTTCATTCCCTCTGTCTTCTGACTTAAGTGCTGTTTTCTTACAGAGCTGCTGTCTCGTGAGATCGAGGACCAAACCGACAACGACAAGCCCGAGAAGCCAGACAATGTGGACAGCCAGACAACTCACACCGACCCGGCTCCACCGGCCTTAAGCAAGCGCGGAAATTACTTTTCCGACTGCTCTGAGATCCACACAGCCCAATCTCTGTACCATACTGTGTCTAGTGGTGTACACAAAATACAACCTGTAGGTCTGTCCAGCCCGATCTCTGTATACTGTGATCAGACCACAGATGGGGGAGGGTGGACGGTCATACAGAGGAGGTTTGACGGGTCTATCGACTTTAACCGACCTTATAACGCCTTTAGGTACGGGTTTGGGCCAGCCGATGGGGAGTATTGGCTGGGTTTGGAGAACATGTACCGTTTGACCAATCAGCACACGTATACTTTGTACGTACAGTTGGAAGATTGGAATAGTGTGGTCAAGTACGCAAAGTATTCGTCATTCTCGGTGGGGAGTAGTAGTTCCAACTATCTCCTGTCTGTTAGTGGGTACAGTGGGACCGCTGGGGATGGGTTCTACTTATCGACTACATCATCTGGTAACTACCTATCGGGTCAGGCCTTCAGTGCTAGGGATGTAGACCGTGATGCATGGTCCGGCGGGTCCTGTGCTGGTGGTCACGGTGCCTACACGGGAGGGTGGTGGTACAAGTCCTGCACTACTTCTGCCCTGAACGGCCCGTACCTGCGTCCCTCTGACCGTACCGGTCACAGTGGCTGGGGCATAGCTTGGGTCAGGTTTGGAGGCTCCTATTTTTACTATCTGAAAAAGTCCAAAATGATGGTCCGCCCTGCCAACTTCCGACCGTAAGTTGCCAGACACTAACCCAGCTGACAGGTCGAGGAATCAAAATGTTTGACACAAACCATTACCATTACCCACACTCACTCTGTATCAATTTTCTTTAAATAGGTCATTCAATCTTTAAACCTACTTATTTGGTAATTATAATCTCTACCTCACTCTGGTAATCTTGGTAGAGGAAATTAACACATACATACATACTTACATAATACTCAGAGAGTTGAAGCATTTATATAGTTCAGCTTTCAGCGTTTTCTATCGTACATCATTTCGATGCGTTCTTTTCCATACCAGTTCCATACCACTCAATAATGTCCTTTAGTGTAGACTGTAGAGTTTGGACGACCTCTTCTCATCTTCGCGTCCGGAGACCAAATAAGCGGTTTCCACCCGGTTCGCCATGCCTAGTAAAGCTAAGGTCCCAATTACGCCGGTGCCCGTCGGGGATGTAGCCTCGGCCGGCCCCGGCCGGGTTCAGGAGTCGAGCTGGCATCGGCTGTCGTGGTCACAATTAAAAATTTCCTTCAGTAGCATTTTGTTAGAAATTTTTTCACCCTCTTTGGTCGGTATCCAGCAGGCACCCGACAGGTACCCAGCAGATTCTCTGACGATGTCTTGTATTGACCTATACGTAATGCAGAATTCACGTATTTGTTGTAATCATTTGATCTGTGAGGTCACACATTTTACCCGGGTTTACGAAGTACACACCTTTATTCTGTTCATCTGGTCTGTGACGTAAGAAATGTGTCCCGGTGGAATGCCGGCAACCGGAGGGGTACCTCTCGGTGTTCTCACGATGTGGTCACGGCGTCTCTTTGTCAGCGGGGCCCGGGTAGAATTTAACTCAGAATTAAATTCTTATCGGGGCCCCGACGGGCCAAAAAATAGCCCGGTAGCCGCAGGGTGCCCCGCGGGGCCACGTCGGGGTCCCGCCCGAAAGTAGTAAAAAACAGCCCGGGAACTACCCGCCAGGGCCCCTTTTCCCAATTGGGACCTTAGCTTAACATGGCCGGCTAGACTTAACCTACGTCGCTTGACTACTGTAGAGATTGGTGGAAGGGAGCCGTAGAGTTGTTTATTATTTGTAAATTTCCACCAAGGTTTGTTCTGTATGAACTGTAGCATCTTTGATAAAGGTACCATCCAGTTTTCTGACCTGTGAAGCATTCATACTCCACGACTCGCAGCCGTATAACAACATTGAAACAACAAAGGCTTGAAACACTTTGGTTTTTGTTTCCTCCCTGACCCGTGATTTTCAGACCCTTTTGAGAGAATGTATGGCACTCCATGCCTGCCCAATTCTAACCTCCTTGTCATGTTTGACATCTGTCCCCCCCCCCCCAATATCTGACGTCAGTGACCCTTTCAATTGTAGATCCGTCAGAAGTATAGAGCTGTTCCGAGGATGTGGGATTTAAATGGATGGCTTTAGTTTTTGATGCATTGAGATACAGCACAATGGTTTGACATGCAGTTTCGACTCTGTAGAGTAGGTCTTGTGCAATTTGTATTGTGTCTTCGAGAAGACCAATATCATCCGCGAAATCAAGGTTAAGGAGGGTCTCTACCGGGTAGAGACGGTGATGCAGGGTTAGACCATCAGTTTCTGTGATAGCTACCCTTAAAGCAAAATCTTAACATATAATTAAGAAGAATGCGGAAAGGGGGTCCCCCTGTAGAACACCAGTATTGATGTAATAAAAGTAAAAGAGAAATATTGCATTTTTCTAAATCTGCAGCTAGGTTTAGTCAGTTTATAACTACACACACCACTCAAGAAGTTCATCATAGTCTAGATTGACAATTTTATCTTAAAAGTTATTAACCAGGCATCTAGATTGATTTTGTTTGTTTGTTTGTTTATTGAGATCTCCATTAGTATGGTAAATTCTATACTATTCTTTCTAGAGTCCAGCAACATAAGATAAAATGACAACAATAATTACTTTTAGCAACGAAGAATGATAATAAATAAAACTTATGCTGAAATTATGAAAAACTTGAAATAAAATCAGCATACAGAAATAAAAGTGCATTGGAGATCATAAGTTAAATAATAGAAATAATATGTCTGAAAAAGAAGTTATAATTGATGTCCAATAAATAGAAAACTAGAGTTCCACGATCTCATACCTTCACCAAATGATGTTAGCCTTTATGATTAAGAAATTATAGATTAATCCCCCTGATTGTGAAAATAGGATCCTATATTGCATCAATTATATCTGTTGATCATATTCTACACCAGAAGACAGTCTTATCATATTTAAGAATGCCATTATAGCATTTCCTTATAAATTATGCAAATGAGGTCCTTATTTGCATAAGTTATGTTTAATTATGTTCACCTTCACATGACTTTCAAATGTCCCAAGTATGAAATTCCAGGCAGTTACCACTATGTAATTATAACATTTTCTCATTAATTATGCAAATTAAGACTTCATTTGCATAATCGATATCTGCCGGTATTTCTGCCGTTCTTAATTACATATGTCACAAGCTTGAATAGTCCTATCATGGAATGCAGCTGATTTATAGAATTTCCTCATTAATTATGCAAATTACATTAATATTTGCATAATTGTAATATTATTATGTCAAGCATCACTTCAGCTACCTACATGCCAAAAATCACGACGATCCATCAATTGGTTCTTGAGTTATCCGCCTTTAAACATTTTTGAACTAACGCCCCTGCAGTTCCAGAGCAAGCAGCTAGGAGGCCCATACTCACGTCACTTCTTCCTCAGCACGAGAGCTACCTACCATCCAAATTTCGTCACCCTAGCATGTCTTGATCACGAGATATCAAAACCGGAAGTTCAGCTGCAGTACCATAACAAGCCGCTAGGAGGCCCGAAATCTAATCAGTTCCACGTCTCATGAAGACCTACCCACCTACCAAATATCAAGATAATCCATCTCAGCCTTCTTGAGTTATCGTGCTGACACACACACACACACACACACACAGACACACGAACGCCCCTGAAAACATAACCTTCTCGGCGAAGGTAATCAAAGTAACAAAACAGTAAACAGATATTTGACTGACACAAATGATAATGAAAATAAAAATAACAAATGAACGAATATATATGCAACAAAATGTTATTCCTTTCAATGAAGTGATTAAATAAATGACTACAAAAGAAAAGAGCTCGCAAATCAATACTAGATTAGTAGACATCTGATGTTGCTTTTGTTAAAAAAATGAAATATGCAAGAAGCATTCATGTTGTGTTTGAAGCTATAGGTATTAGATCGTCATTCGTTCTAAAACCCTTGATGTATGGTACCCTAGAAGTTTTTCCATTTTTGAAACAATCCCTGTCAGCCTGTATGAGGGTTAGAGCACAATAAAAAGACATTCAATGATGCAGTGCTTGTTTTCTTCTTTATTCCATATAGCAAGTTGTTATAGGTTATTTACAGTAACTAAAAGGTATTTTTATGCAATACCATACCTACCCGCCAGAGTGTGTTTGAAAAACGTCTTTATCGTAAAAAAATTGGGATCGTCTAAAATGGTGAAGTGTGTTTCCTTGTCTTCTGCATATATAAACAGTATAACCTGCCCAAGGCGACCAGAGGACAGGTGGTCTCCTTAAATAGAATAGCCTCACAACATGACTGAGACATGATTGGTTTAAAGTGATTAATAAAATGTAGTTTAATGTGTCAAATGCTGGAAGCATCTTTAGTTCTGTGGTTCATTCATGTGTGTAGGGTAACAAATGGAACAATTTATGTCGAACAAAAGAATCAACACGATCAAAAATGATGTGGTCGTCATGGGCAGGTTGGACATTGAGCGGGCACAACTCACGGCGGTCACGGTCGACCGCGTCGGCCAGGTGGTCACCTTGGATAGGTCGAAGTGGCTGAGAAAAAGCAGTCACCATGGCCAGGTCACTTTTGAGTGTTTGACTAAATCTGAAATTAAACCACTACAGTCAAGAAAGTCATGTTAACGTTACGTTAGACGATTAGATATAGGGCCACGTAATGTTAACATCTGTTAATATTGAGATATTCATTTTCTATCAATTACATAATTATATAGTAACAATTATTGAAGATTTACAAAAGAGTCCCTAACGTTTTCCTTCTCTGCCGTCTAAACTGAGGTACGCAATATACAGGTTTATGACAAACACCAATGTAAGAATAAAGACTGGGTCCATCTGTTGTTTTCAATATTGATGGTTCTAAACGTCCTCTTTAGTGCTGGCTAAAGCTGACTGAACTGAGTTCTCACTCTCTTATCTCGTGTAAGTGGCACCAGACTAATGCTAGAATTAATCCAACAACCCAGTGCAATTTATTTTTACATTTTTTTTTAAAGATCAAAGCTGTTTTGCAAGACATGGCGATGGCACAGTCAAGGTTTTTCACCTTATTTTACAAAAGCCATGTATTTGCGTTTGCATGTACAACAGACATACTAATGTTCACCTTGTTTAGGTGGGCAAATTTCTTCCCACGTACCTTTTCCAAGTGCACAAGATCGGTGGCATGTCAGGATTCGAACTCGGGAACTCTTGGTTCCGAGCCGAACGCTCTGCCGTTGCGCTACAAAAACGTGGCCCCAATACATAGAATGAAATGTTTTCAGTAGGGTCATGATGAAATGGCAATGTCTTTTTACCATAATATATTCAAGAAATAGAAAAATAATTATTTGGCCTACTATGGTTCGCTGTTGCATGAAGGGGAGGAAATGAGCCACATACGCCCCCTTGCGAAGCAGCAGTCTAACTACATTCCCGAACACGGAGAAGATGTACTGTATTATTGTACAGCGCTGTTCTGGTGCTTGTGATCTCGGTTCCTGGCTCGTCGTTATCAAGGTTTGGACCTACCTTTAACGATCCATGATTATAGTCTATTAATCATGCCAAGTAGCTTTAAATAGATATGGTCATTATTACATTACGCAAGGCAGATTTCATATCGTTAATATGATTGAGAAAAATAGTTAATTAAAAAGCAACATTTCGAACAACAAAACAGAGATTTAAGACTCCCCGGTTCTGGAAAGTATTTTGTTCTCGTAAATTGAAGAAGCTATGAATGGATCTTGATGATATTTGGAGTGGAATGTTGGGCTCAGAGACATCACTACTGGAAAACTCCGCTGACTGATGGAGGACAGGGACGAGTGGAGAAGAAGAACCCATTGTCTCCCGTGATGACATCCCCGATGTCCCAATTCAAGGTTCAAGGTATGTAAGCAGTGATTGTGTAAACAGAGGTCATATTCAAAAAATGGATCTGAGTTTTCCCGCGGTACTGCAGCGGGATATCTTTTTAGTCTTGTTTGTATGAACGACGTATAACTTCAAAAATTGCAACTTGTAAAACAATG